ATCTTGTTTTTAATCTTAAGTGTTTTGGGTAAAATCACTAATTTTATTTTATGCGCAGTTTTAGTAAGGTTAGGTCATTTAACGTTGACTTCAACTAAAGGTGCATTTGTGTTTTGTTTTAAGGACAGGAAGTTGTAATGTGTGTTGAGGTAGCCTGATATTGGTTGAAGAGGGACATGGAAAGATGATCTTTAATAGTTTCATTTTGACAGTAGGAAGGTTAAAAATCTCTTTATTTCCCTCATCGATCCCCTGGGATCAGCAGTGTGAGAAGCTTACTTGTTTATTGTTTCTCTGAGATGAACTTAGGAGAGACCACATAAAAAGCGAGACTAAAGCGCGGGCAGTGTGTGCCTCTGTGCGAGCGTGTGGAGTGTGAGTGTCTTCCTCTCAGTTGGTGTACCTCAAGCGTTGTGATTGAACTCAACAGTCAAAAGTCAAATCATTTTAAACATGCTACAGGAGCGACGTACTTAAACGACCCCATAGCATCATTTGTGTAGTGAAGGATATTTTAATTTATTCATAAAATTATTTAAACTGTTCCTCCTTAATTTCTGTAACTACTTGAATGTTAGTAGTGTGGGCAGCACAGCAAAATGGATAATCTCCAAAACATTCATATTTGATTTTGGAGTACCTGCAGAGCAGTTTCTGATCACTCCTGTTGAGATGTTCAGTCAACAGTCAGTACTGAGCAGCTACCAGATGCTGGCATGAAAAGGAATGCAGAATAGATAGATAGTCCCTGCTAGCAGGTGAAAAACGAGGGTATAGGAAACAAGAAAAGATAAAGCAGCATACAACAAATGCTAAGATTCTGAGGATCAAGCAAAAAATGCGGTAAGTATCTGAAGAAGGGGGAGATTGGTGAGACCAGGGAAGGATGTGTGGCCTTTGTCCTTGAGGGATGGATGGGAGTTAGGAACAGGGCACCCCAAAGGAGTAACATTTAGAGTAAAGGACCTGAGTGATTGAGGCTGGGTGGCGGGGAGGAGAGAGCTCCACTCGGTAGAGCACGTGCATGAGGCGCCCAGCCTCATCCTGCTGCGGAGAGTGTGTGCAGCCTGGGCAGTCTGCTTCTGGGGTGCTGCAGTGTGAGCAAGCGCTGTGGGCAGGGCTGTGAGCCTCTGCCCCAGCAATCACTGCTCACACCTTTGTGTCAGAGATGTGTTTGCCTGCAGTTTGCAGCGAACCCTGTTACGTGTACACAGGGGACATACTTATGCTGAAATTACCTGTGATTTACCTGACGTTCAAATTTAACTGGGTGTCCTGTATTTTTATTTCTTAAATGTGGCTGCTGAAGGAGGGGGGTGGCTTGGGAAGAGGGCCTTGCACAGTCTCCACCACCTGGCTTGTCCTCTGTGCTTGTGAAACTGTGCCCATGGGCACCAGAGAGAAGTACTCAAAAGCAGTAAGTAAATATGGAGATTCTCCTAGGCCACCTCCCATGAGACTTGCCACCCTTGGGAGCTTTTGTCCAACAGTAAGTGCTCCTGCCTCCCATGTCCCTCAGG